TTGGCAACAATTTACTTTGTATTTTACCATCAGTAGTTAACCCAACATAATGTAACCTAACCAAAAAGGTACACTGAAAAATAAAAAACAGGGACAATGCGATTAGATCACATCAAACTGCTAGCTGAATATTAGCCTAGCAGGAAAGATTTGTTGGCAGCCATTCAGTGTGTTTTGAATGTAAGCAGGGTTTGTGAGGTAAATTCCAAAACTTATAAAAGTATTTGGCAGCACCCCTAGACTGTTGTCTCAGCACCCACTTTGGGAAAGCTTGCCCCAGAGGACACGTTGTAGGGGAGACATTGGCTATGTTTACATGCAACGATTTTTGCCAATCCGATTGAATACAATCCGATTACAGATTTAGACTGAGGTGTTTATATGCACTCTATTCAACAATCTGATGGAAAATCTTCGTTTACATGCTCACTACAAGTAATCCGATGCAAAATGACGCGCATGCGTGGAGTAGCGCTTAGAGTAAACGTTACCATGACAGCGAACATCACGTGAGGTCCAGACCAGTTTCTGCTCCGCCATGTTGAGCGGTGTAAACTTTCGCCGTGACGCGACGCACATGCGCAGAACATACTTACACGTTCCGATTGGAATGTAATCGGATTCAGGCGTTTACATGGCTATTATTCTTCTATTTAACGGATTATTTAGAAGTTTACCCACCTCGTTTAATCGGATAGAAATTGTATTCCGAATGGCCTCAATCGGATTAGACTATTCCGATTGAGGTGTTTACATGGACGTATTCTATTCCGATTGAGCTATTAGTCGGATTATTAACGGATTCACTGGGATTTTTTTTCTCTCCATTGCAAGGGCACATCATGTTTTCTCACTTGTAAGGGCATCTAAGAAGGGACTTGTAGGGAACATGAAGTTTATCCCATTGTGAGGGCACCTATATAGCACCATGTGACATTTTCTCCATTCCCCACAGTTTCACTCATTTAGAGACACCCTTTACAGCACTGCATCATATTTTATCCGCTAGAGGGCAATGGTGCCTTCAAGAGGTGGGGTGGGGGGGTTTACAGCCACACTTAACCATTCACTAACTCCCTCAGTGGCCCCCTGGCAAACCTCTCTACCCCCTCACTCCTACTTTCACATTTGCCCTGGCAGAACAAGTGACCAACTACTCCGACCCTCAACCCCCCGCCCTGTCCCAGGTTTACACTTTCACATCACAAAAACCTCACATCTGTCAAACTTTGCCTTTAAGGGGAGAGCTGTTTGTCTGTCATCGATCAGCAGAACAAATTCCCAACCTCTCAACATCCACCCCCCAACTCCTCCACTCACACAGTTTCAGCCACCTTGCTGAAACTCCATGCCACCCCATTAGAGGAGTACCTAATAGGGCACTTCGTCATGTTTTCTTACCTTTAGGAGTACCTTAAACAGCATTTCATTACATTTTGTCCCACCATGACTTAATTTAATAAGTGAAATTATCTAATACTTTAACAATCTCAATTTGAGAAATATAAGGATATATGAACTTGATTTCACATTTTTTGCAGTGCACACCTCTGAAAGCCTCAACTAATTTAGAAATGTGCATCAAAGGGGCTCCAGAATCTCTAATCCACCCCAATAGCATGGGTACAATAATAAATAATTTTTCAAAATGACTGATAATCAAGAAAATTATATTGCAACAAGTTAGTTATACACTCAAAAAAATATTTAAGCCTAAAAGTTAAAACTTTTAATTACATGTCAATTTTCCATTCAATTTAAATACATAAATCCAATGTAAAAATTTGTATTATAATTTATGTTTCTCCATTATGTTCAATAAACTTGAATAAATTAAATAACATTTAAATTAGAAGTACTTGTAGGATTTATGCAATTCTTTTATATAACATTTATGTATTTCTAAAGAGTTAATAGTACCTTCTGTATTCACAGCACAATTACTTAGACTGTGTAAATGTATTAAATGACAATACATGTTAATTCAGAAACATTTATTGTAGTACAAACTGTATTAAACAGTATTTGCTGAGGCACATTACAAGACACATATAAATTTTAAAGTGTGATGTGAAAGAATTAAACATAACTTTATAAATTTCAGCTGTGATCAAATTCCCTGGTTTAGAATTTCTATTCACTCGCAACTTAACTACTAATTAAAGCAAATGTTAATGTGCACACAACATTGCTATTGAGGGGTAATTCTCATGCTAACCATCATGCAAGTTAGCTAGCTAACGCTATCAGTCACTTCATGCCATGCTAATATGTTGAGGTCACCTACAGTTACAAAAACCATGAACTGTTGATTTGAATATTAATGGAATACATCTTTATATACTATGCTTCACAATAAGCCACTACCATTGTTTATTTAATCTACCTTTTGTACCCGTTAACATGACAGCAGACCTAGCAAGGATGCTAGCTAGCTAGTTCGCTGGTGTTATCTAGAGTATCTCTCAAAATAAGCAAAATGAAACATTAATATATGGTCAAAAACATTAAAAACACAAATTAAGTTAATGCGCATCACTATTTCATTGCAGATGCACTGTATAACAAAGGATGGCAGCAGATTGTAAAAATAAAAAGAGCCATTTCATGTCCACCATGCCAGCTGAAGCAATTTCCTGGTTGATGATGCGTTTCCTGTTACTGTTGCACATGTGCACTGCTTCCTAATAAGATTTAATTCAATTAAATCAGGTTTGGATTCATCCAAATTGGGTTGCTTCTAATGAATATAAATGAGTAAAGTATATTTTTATGTTTTTAAAAAAAAGTTTTATATAAAATATTTGTTTAATGTTTATGATGGCCATAAATCATTTTTTTTGAGTGCAGCTGCCGATAGGCAGCCATGATGAAATGTGTCTTCAGATTGATAGAAAATGTGTTGTATATGGTTCTCTGTAGAACCTTTTTGAAAATCAGGTTCTTCTGTTGTGACATTGTCAAGCATGTAACAATAGAGGAACCCTTTTTGGTGTTATATAGAACCATATACAACACATTTTTCTGTAATCTTGTTGAATTAGGCATGGATGTCCCTGGAAAAGATGTTGTCTTTAAGGCAGCATATTTTGCCTCAGCATTGTCCTTGGGAAAAGGACCATGGTCTTTTTCGTCTGTGGTCCGGAGCACACAGCGTTCATTTCTTTGAAAAACGACCTGAAATACTGATTCATCTGACCACGATACATCCACTGTGTAATGATCCATCCTGGATGCCTCTGAGCCCAAAACATTCGATGGTGCTTTCTGGGCACGGTTAACATAAGGCTTCCTTTTGGCACGGTAAAGTTTTAACTGACATTGTGGACATAACTACATATTGTAGCTACATCCACATTTTAAATGTAACTACATACATACGTAATCCTGATCCCACGTAGTTATATTGCTCATAGATGAATGACAGTTCTTGATGCAGTCTTGTCTAAGGTGTTCAGCTTAAGCTTGCTGTGTTTATTGTATTTAACAATATTGTAAGACTTTTTATAATATTTCACTTGTAGTAAATCCAAATTTAAATTTGTTGAAATGTCATTTTATTGATTTTAGTAGTTTTTATAATTTGATTTATGGCTATATTCATGCTATAGGACTTTTATGTAATATTTCACTGGTAGTAATGTTGTATTTGAGCACTCATCAGAAAGTTCTATATACCAGGTGGTTACCTAATAAATATACTTCTCTCAGTTTGGGTGCTGGTATGTAAATACACCTACTACACAGAAAAAAGCATAAAGATTAGAGAATACATTTACTGCTTTATCTTTGCTGCTGTGTTAAAAAGCAGACAGATCTAACAGAAATGCTTTAGTTATATATCTGTACACATTCTCTGCAAGTTTAGTGATTTTTACTCATGTAAAAGGTTAAAGGTCTTGTTATAGGTTACATCTAGTAAACTTGTATATCATCTGGAATCGCAAGTTTACCAGTTGTAAATACAACTTTGTCTGCAGTTCAAGCGCAATTCACAGTTTCCAAAATCCCTTGAACGCAGCGAGTCATCCATCTGCCTAGCAATCTACTACCATCTTCAATGTGTTGACACCTGATTTGTTTTTTTTTAAATACATTTTATTACTGCATGTTGTAAGACTTTGAAGCTTTCCACTTGTAATAAATCATACCTCCTACTTGACAACAACTACAGCCTTTGTTTTGTTTATGTTTTAATATTTTTTCAAAACAAAATTCCACCACTGGATGTTTTTGGGAATGTTGAATTTATAAGCAGGCAATCTTTATCTTTAATGGTGATTTTGTCTGTTTTGGCATGAAATTTTTAAGCAAAAAATAGTAGCTTATAAAATGCAGCGAAGAGGCATTTGTGAAAACTGAGATTTATAGTAGGCTTAAAGGAAGCCACTCATTATTGCAAATGATCTGGGCCAGTATTCACGAAGTTTCTGAGCGCAGGAGTGCTGATGTAGGATCAGATTCCCATTTGTATGATTTTACTGACAGGAACAGATCCTAGATCATCACTCCTACTCTGAGAAGCTTTATGTGTACGGGCCCTGATGTTTTTGCCTTCGAAGCTAAATTCCTGAGAAAAAACCTAGAAAATCGTCCACGTTGCACTTTTTAGACGGTCCCTAAATGGCTAAGGCGTCGGTTATCTGCGTTTCCGAACTTTTATGTACATCGAAATTTAACGAAGGACATTTTTGAAATATATCAGGCTGTATCTGTGTCTGCCCAGCACTGGGAAAATGTATGTTTGATCACTTTCAACGTCTATTTCATGAGAAATCAAGGAGAGAATGACGATTACCCTGCGAAAGTACAATATAAAAGCAACTTTACCGAGCCGAAGTAGCTTTAATGTTACCATTTAATTTAATATATGGTGGTCCGTGTTTACTACGTGTATTTAAAATGCGGTTATTGTATTTAACAACATGCATATGACTTTAAGGAGTGCACGGTAGTGTTTCTGTTTTTAGCATCAAGCTCCCAGCATCAAAAATAGTTAAGAGGGTGTGGAGAGTGCAGGATGACCCACCCCTAACCGGCTGACACGGCTCGTCTTAGTTTAACCCGACATGACTTCAGATCAAACCTTAGTGGATTACCTTTAACAGCGTTTAAACAATGCGAACTTGGTAAAAAGAAGGAATAAGTAGCGGAATTTTGAGAAGAACTAGTCTACACGCGCAGAGAATTAAGTTACACTATTAAGTTACACTAAGAGAATCTGCACACAGAACATTTGATATCTTTTTCTTTTTAGAACTATGGTAAACAGGTGTGCAGTAAGTATGTGAGTGGGGTTACTCGACAACTCGGCGTTTTTTTCCGTCATTGCCTTTGGCGTTTTCAAAAGACAACTACAACTCAGGAAGCGAAGCCAAGACGGATGTCGCTACCACAACCAGACAACGTGAAATATACCACGTCGTGCGACGTTTGCTTGCAAACCGCGACTCACTCTTGGAAACTCTAACTCATTCTGTGGCGTCGTTAGTTCAGTTTTTCGTAAAGATCACAAAGAAGCGGTTTTAAAGAGAGGGTGTTCAATGAAAGATCTCCCTGTTCACCCTTAAATCGTCTGGATAATAAACAGGACCGCCAGCCCGATGGGATCTCAAGGGCCAGGACGCAAAAGAACTCCTAACAAAAATGGCTTGACCGCTGAGGAGGATGCGCTGAATTTAATAGCAAGAGAGGTATTTTTCATTTCGCAGTCCAGCCATCCACTTGATTGTAGTCTAAGTGTCCATCTAGTAACAGTAAACATAAGTCAAACCCTAAAGCAAATTGGTATAGAGAGGATGGGCTTTTACAGCGTTTTGGAGCAAGGCAAGTTGTTGCTGGGTCTATTTCCATGTGGCGCTGATTCAGACAATTATCCATTTGTAGGATACCATGTATTTGTACTGTATAATTTCCCGACACTATTGTCGTAGTTCCAGTGTCTTTTTAACCCTTAGTTCTCACCCGTAATGTCCTAAGAACATAATTAAGAACGTAATTATTTACCGACTGGGACAGCTTTTTGCTAAATTATGGTAGTAATGTGCTCAGTGATACTAGTGCTAACCTGTGAAGATCCCGAGGCGGAATTCAGCAGTTTACTGACATCCCCCTACAGATGTAAAGTGACAGGTGGTAGAAGCCATGTTGTGCATGTTGTGTACAGCAGTTGCTTGAATTTTGGCCCAGTGTTCAGTGTAGTTTATTGCAGTTTCATTATAGTTTAGTCATTCAGGTGTTACTGTGATGGTTCAAGTGATAAATAATTACTTTAGATGTTTATTTACACCATATAGAACAGGAGGTACAACAAAATTAACTAAAGTGAAAACTTGGAGTCACCACGTTGTGCACAGTCCTGTGCAGGTTGTAGAAAATCAACTTTTTTGATACGAAAACTTTACAAAAACATGTTGCAGTCAAGTGAAGATGGGTTTACAGACAACCCAACTGGCTGCATATTTGGTATGTGTCTTATCTGTGAGTAATTATGCAAACATAATTTCAGAATATCTGCTTATGTTGGATTGTGTTCATAACTGTGTCATTTGTGTTAAACTTTAAAACTCTGTGCAGTTTTGAGTCAGGGCTGCAGTTTGAGAATTTGGCAGTTATAGGAAATCAATTGAAATAAAATGAGTTTTCCTTTCGAAATGAATAGGATACACTGACACACAAAAATTTAAGAGTGTTTAATATTTCAATGCTTTGGCCCATCATATCTTTGCAGTAGGTTAACTTAAGTTAACCTAATGTAACAGACTAACGAAGGTTGCTCTAGATCAGAAGCAATGTGGTATGGCAACACATAATGTTTTGGAAATGCAGTGGACAATTTTCACGGAATGAGGAGAAATTCTGGCAAAATGCATCATTCGTTTAGTAGGCATAGCAAGTTAATTCACAGGATATAATTTGTACACTTATATTGTCTGCTCACAAGAGCAAGAATGACCTAATTTGAAATAAATAATGGATTCAGGTACATTAGGAGCTTCGAAGGGATCAGTGCTGCAGTAGATTAAGTAAAAAGGCTGTAAGTGACTTTCTGAAGACCATAAAACTAATTTCTTAGTAAGAGTTGAAACTGATCTTCTAAAGACTGAACTATGGGACAGAATTTTCTTGTCTTGAGCTAAGGCCAGTGGGAAGGGCAAGATAAATCATACACCAGAAGACCTTGCTTAGTCCTGATAGTGCCTTTGAATGTACTGAATTGTTCAGTATATACAAATTGTCTAGAAAATTATAAGCCAGTGACCCACAGGATATACACCTGGAAACTCATTCATCAGGCTGACATATAGTGAACTATGTATATTGGACTCTGGCTCTTTAAATGCCAGATGAATAAATGAAAATGCACATGTGCTCATGCATGCACAGACGCATGCACACTGGTCTTGGTGAACATTTTCTCATCTAGACTGATCAACATTAAGAAGCCCTGGTGTGTGTCCTCAAAATGTTACTCTAGTGTAACTGCTTTGTTTTGTTTGTTTGAAGAAGGGACTGAACTGTTTTCAATATGGTGTCTAATACTGTGCCCAGTATCACTCAATATGGAGTGGGAAAGCTAAGCAGGAAGTTGCAGCAACAGTCGCAGCAACGACACTTCCTTAATGTTCTTTGGTCTGTTATTTACTCATGAAGTGTTATTATTAAAGTGGATGGCCTGACTCATTTCTCTTTAACCTTTAAGACATTTGAATAAAACGTTCTGTAAGAAGATTGTGTTGGTTTTAGACTCTACATTACAGCTGTGTTTGCAGTAGTTCCAACAGTTTCTGAAAAGCTTTGGCTTTAAGTGTCCTGGGAATGCAGAGTTTGACACTGTATGTCCTCTGACAGGCTGGTATGTTGGCCTTGATAAGTTAGCTGATTCTGTTGCAAGAACTTTAAAAATAGAAGGCCCTTAAAGATCACCTGTCTGCACTGCCAGCTGTGAGGCCAGGCAAAAGTGTTTTTTTTTGTAGGATTGTATTGGCAGCTTTTTTCTTTTTGGGATGTGTTTGTGTGTGGGGGTGGTCTCTAACACACACAAGGGAAATGTAGGTATGTTAGTGTGCGGGAGAGAGAGTTGGTGTCATGTTACAGAATATAACTGAGAGTTTCATTCAGTAACCGCGGCACCTGTTATATGAGCCAATGCAGCAAGATTCATGTCTGCATGAATGGCAATTTCAGTCTGAGAGTCCATTTTTGCTGATTGATGTGAACAGTAAGCTAGTGGTTTGCTGAAGAAAAATACAAAATATTATGTCAAAAGAGCACATGGACAAAATGTGTGCAGCCCTACTGCAGCAACAGTAACCCTCATGTAGGCTAGGCTAATCAAAAAGGTAGCTTGTGTGGCCTCTCAAATTCGTAGCTAGGCTGAAGTGTTGTCTAAATAATCGTTATTTCATCAGTCATAAGAGGTAATCTCATACTAATCTGTATACTAATCTCATACTAATCTACTACTTTCAGTTAGCTAGTTAGCTAGATTATTGATGCTCAAATTAGAGTAGCTACAGGTCAGTGATGAAAATCCATGCTTTTTGACTAAGTTATTGGTTAAAAAGTCAACCCCAACACCAAGATGTGTTGATTAATGATGGAGTTATTTAGGTTGTTGGCTATCTTTTAGCCTGTTAGCTAGCTGACCAGCCTAGTTCTAGTTAAGAACATAAGTTGCTAGTTCTTATTTCATCAATATACTCGGTGGTCCATGCAAGCAGCATGAAAGTCAAAGATTAGTCTATTAACAGCACAAGTTTTTTATTTATTTTTATTTTTTCGTGCCATGGCGTAGTAATGAACAATTCAGTTGTTGTGAGGTGGTCATAGGTGTGCATATATCATGGATTTTACAATGGCTTCGAACGCAGCTCAGCCAATCAGATTTCAGGAACGGAACTATCTGTTTTACAATATAATAAAAAATAAATAAAAATATGTATAAATTTACAAATATATAATGCAAATTACATTGAACTACAAATAAATGTTGTTTTCTTGACTCAGACTCAGTGTGCTCAGGTCTTGGTCTTGACTACAACCTTAATATGTGAAAAGTGTAGTTAAGTAGACTACATTATGTCACTGTCATATTTGTTATTTTAGGCTGCATTTTTTTATTTTTAATATATATTAAAAAATATATTACATATTTTTAATATAATTAATAACACCCAAAGTCCTGTTTATATTAATACACAGTTGTGGGTTTTGTCCTTGATTATAGGTCTGTCAGTTAACAGTTATTCACCAGCTAATAACGGTTGGTCATCAGTCAAAAAGAATTTGCCAAAATGTGCATCCTTATTTCTTATCTATTTTTTGGAATCTTAGTCCTTTGTTAATCCCTTACACCCCAACATAATTCTACAAATCCCAATTCTATGAAACTTGGAGCTCTGCGTGAAATGAAAACAGTGATTTGTAAATCCACTTTTCACCTGTATTTAAATGAAAACAGTACATTTTCGTAAGGGCATAATATTGTCAAAAGACTATATATATCTTTCACTGAAAAGACATGGCACATTATGAAGTGCAAAATACCAACAGTACAGATCCCATATGAAAGCCCAGCTAAAGGCATTTATAACAGATGAATAGCAAATAAATTCTTTTTTCTAAACTGGATCAGTTTCTGCCTTTATTGATTATTAAGTGTTGTTAAAATGAAACCTTGGTAAACCACCACTGTATTGTTTTGTACTGTACTGTTCAATTATACAGGTAAAAAAAAAAATTATCAATCACTGCTTTATGTTTATTAACATTTCACATACTGTCCCAAATTTTGTAATTGAGATTTGTCAAATGCTTTTATGGATTCCTGACAGTTTTAAAGAGTTAGAGACTTACTAAATCACTGTTTTAACCAAAACAATATTTTATAAAACCAGCAAAATATGGCAATAACCTAATAATGGGCATATTAGGCTACAAAACAATCATCCTTAAGCAATCTTAGCTAAAGGTTGAACCCAGCCCCACCCAAGATATGTTAGTGTCTGAGTTCTTCGGTCCAACATTTATTGGGCACTGCAGAGTGCATAAACGTTTGCGGGAAAAGCTAAAGATCATGCTTATTTATATTTGCTATATAGCGTTGCCATATTTCCTACAGTATAATAACAGTTAAAGCTCTCTTTTGTTTCACTGAATATACAGTCAGGCTACTATAGCATAATGTACTACAGTAAGTAATGAGTATGATTTCTTTTTTTTTTAATGTGATTTTTTTTTTTTATTTAAAAACACCCCAATTAACAACCAGGAACTGTAGACAGCTGCAGTTTTTGCAGGCCATGCAGAGCATCACCAGAGGAGAAACCAAGTGTTTGGGGAATATCCAAATATTTATGGACCTGACTGTATGAATGACGAACAATATAAGGATGGGAGTTCTAGATGAATTCAGTGTTTTCCTTTTTCTGACATCACAGAGGGTGCTTGGAGACATTGAGTACTTATTACAAATACTTTACTGTTTGTTCTGTTCTGCTGGGTGAAGACATTTCTATGCACTCCCTCCAGAAACTGCAGTGAATACTCACTTATGTGTAAGTTCCTGTGGTCGGTTGAGCAATTGTGTTATCTGCTGTTTCTCAAGTGAATGAATTACGGTGCAAAAGAGAAACTTAAAATTGCAGTAGGAATTGATGTCAGTAGCCTCTCATTCTCTCTCTTTCTCTGT